GTGTGGACAATGTCACCCCTTCCTTCACTTTCCCTCTCCTTTTCCTTTCCACAAATTGCACGGTGTGTGTGTGTGTTGATCCTGGGTGTGTGTGTGTGTGTGTGTGTGTGGATCCTGGGGGTGTGTGTGTGTGTGGATCCTGGGAATGAAATCAGGGCCTTGTGCTCTAGCTCAGCTGTTTTGCTCATGACTGGTGCTTGAGCCACACTTCTACTTCTGGCTAATTTGGTCATTTGACTAGAAAAAGGTTTTTGGGTTTGTCATCTGCGTTCCTAGCTGTCTCTGATTTTTTTCCCCTATATATTATAGTATCATTAACTATAAAAAATAACAGTGTAACAACACTTGATTTTCTATAAGCTAATTCTGTAATGTCAGTATTGTAAGTACAGCTTGTTTAGAAGGTTATACCTTGAATATGTCATATTTGAAAATTAAGAGTTATAACTTTAGCATTTTTTTTATATTACAGATAAGTTGCTGAATTCCTTGGAATTTTCATTGGTTACTTCATACTACACAGAAACTTTGATTCCTCGTGTTTTAAATGGGGAACTAATGGAGATTTTGTCTCATTTTTTATTACAAGAAGATAATCTATATTTGTTATTGCTTCTGGACTTTCTAATATCAGCTCAGCATGTTCAGCCTGTTATAGTTATGGGTCTGATTTTCTTGTTCTTGGTCAAAATATTTATTTTTAAACATATTAGAAGTTACCCAAATGAAGACAACAATAATGTAATATTAAACCCTTTTGATATTTCAATGAAATGACTTCTAGATTTTTTTAAAAATAGTTTTGTAGGATTTTAAACTTATATTTAGTTCAAGTTTTCATTTTTAGTTTTTATGACTGCTCTTTTTTGGTAAACTGAAAAATAATTTAAATAGTCTACCTGTAAATATGTATAATTATAATGATGTAAAATTTTGAGTGTATGTGTCTGTATGTATGCACATACGTATATGGCTTTGCCTAGCCAATGATTTTTTTACATCTGTGTAACATTTTGTACAAAGTTTGTTTTCAATAACAGTAATGTATAATAAAAAACATGTAAAGTTGTGTTATATTGTGTTTAGATGATTTTAAAACGTGGTAAACCTAAGAGGCTATTTTGAAGTGTTCCATGATGGGGAGTGTGGCAGGCTAGTCTGTCTGGATAGATTCATTAATGAAAACCTGTTGTCAGTGCTTGCTTTATTTCACAATAAATCATACCTCGCCTGCATTCCTTTGAAATAAAATTAGGGCAAGTGAAGATTTGGAGAAAACCTTTGTAAGAATTGATTAGCTTAGGCATTCTTCATGCTTCCCTCTCCAGTTTCCTGCTAGTCTCATTGCCATCTCACTCAGAGAATCGATAGAAAGAAGACCCAAAGAATCAGTTGGTAGATTTTTAGGCCAGAAGAATTAACTGGTTTTGTAGTGCTGGGGTTATTTACCATAAGCTTGCTCCTTTTGGTCTTTTGAACATCCAGTGCAAGTAAAAGGGTTAGTCATTTTTCAGTGCATTCATCTCTTTACCACCAAGTAAACCATAAACTATCATGACTAAAAGATAGTACTGGCTTAAAAGAAAACTGGATTATATAAGACCTTCAGAATATAAAATGAGGGAATATGAGGATTCTAATATTCTCAATATGAGAATAAGAAAATAGTTAAAAATCTAAAAAGAAAATAACATAAAAAATAGCATATAGCTAAAGATTGAATGAGTTGGAATATTAGGCTGAAAAACTTCCAAGAGAGAAGCAAACTGAAAACAACAATAAATGGGACCAATAAAAATTTAACTGAGATGGAGGATAGAAGCAGATATGCCAAAGTTTAATGATATGTAGAAGGAGAAAAAAGATCACAATGCCAGAGAAGATTCACAAATCCTAACATTCACACATTACTATCGGAGACAACGAGGAAAAGCTTTTAAAAGTACTAGAATAAAAATTTTCTATTTACTTCAATCTCCAATGTATGTGCTTACAAAAAAAAAAAAGATTTGAGTCTGATAATGCAAACCTACAATTCCAGCACTTCAGGGGCTGAGGCAGGATTAAGAGTCAGGCTAGTTTGAGCAACATAGCAAGACCCTGTCTCAAAAATAAAGATTAGCGGCACACGTGGAATTTTCTTTAAAATATTTATTTTAGTTGCACAAAGGAATTGCCATTCATCAAAGCAGTTTATGAGTAGAATTCATCTTGATCTTCATGTCACCCCTTTTAACATTCTACATCCCTCCAAACCCTACTCTGTTTTCTTGGTGGTGTTGGATATGCATTGAATTTTATGCCTGCCTGCAACTCCATAGAGCGGAGCAGGAAAGCTGAAAATCTGTCCTTGGGCTGGACTACTGGTCAGCGGTACTTTCCTAGTATAAAGAAGTGCCTGGGTTGGATCTTGAGCATCCTCCACCCCTGCTCCTCCATCTCTGTGGATAGTTAAGTATAAGCCCAGAATTGTTAATATTGATCTTGCTCAGATGAAAGTATTAGGATTTATTTCCCTCAACTGTTATCCTGATGATTCTTTTACTTAGAGCCCATGTGTTGGACTGTTGGTTTATACACTCTTACAAAGAGGAACGAACCTCCGTGCAGATTCATAAGTGTAAGGGTGCGTTATAATTATTTGTAAGTACATAACTACTATTCCATTGGGCTTTTTGGCTTGGGATTGAACCCAGGACCGCACAGAGGCTATTCAGCCCACTACCACTGAGCCATGATTACTTTTTCGAGGCCTTTGACTTCTTATAAAAATGCCACGATAGGGGCTGGGAAGGTGGCTCAGTGGTAGAGTACTTGTCTTGCATGCTCGAGGCCCTCAGCACCACATAAGAAAAAAGCCGGAAGTGGCGCTGTGGCTCAAGTGGTAGAGCGCTAGCCTTGAGCTGAAGAGCTGAGGGACAGCGACCAGGCCCAGAGTTCAGGCCACACGACCGGACCCCCCCAAAAAAAATGCCATGTTAGCAGTGTAATAAATTCTAGATTGTTAATAATTCTCCAGCCAGTTTCCAACTTTCAGCGTTAGTATTAAACTTTTTTTTTTTTAAGCTCGGGACCCGAACTCAGAAACACATGTATTAGGCAAGAACTCTGCTTCTGAGTTACACCCGTAGCCAAAGTTTCGTTCTTTTTGTTTTGTACATAATTATAATTTTTTCTCCCGTCACTCTCTGAGTTTCCCCCTCTTCCCTCAGGCAGGGGGCGCGAAGGAGGAGGCTGAGGGAGAGATGAAAGGACGATGAACACCGAAGCTCAGACCCGGGGATCAGCAGTTCAAAGCCAGCCCAGGCAGGAAAGTCCTGACACTCTTATTAGCTCCAAGAAGTGGAGCTGTGGGTCACGTGGTAGAGCAACAGCACCACCACCGACTCCGCCCTTACCCCCCACCCCCCCGCCATGCTTCAGAGCTGTGTTGCTCAGGGGGCTAGTTTCCGTTAGAGTCGTAGGGGGTCCAAAGTGCCCGTCTGGCGCGGCTGGTCCACCTGTGGGCGTGGAAGGAGCCGCTGAGCCTCCTTCCGTTGCGCCCACGCCAGCGGAACCTTCTGTCTCCGCCCTTCTCACGCTTTCGGAGAGCACACCCAACTCGCGCCGACGAGCTCCGAAAGTCACTTCCGCTCCCCGAGCCGGCGCAGCCGTGACGTAGAGCTTCCGCCAGCGCAAGGGGCGGGGCCGACGGTGCTCGGAGTCGCCGCCGCCGCGGGCTGATGACGCGCAGGCCCGTGGGCTTCACCACGTGTGCTGCAGCTCGCCGGCTTTCGGCGGCCACTTTCCCTGGGGGCGTAGTCCGGCGCTCGGGCGTGGGAGCCTCGGCTGCTCGGCGGCTCTGAGCGCGGAGCAGCGGATGCCTGTGGATCACCGGGACGGAGACCCCGGAGCCATGGAGCACTTCTTACTGGACGTCGCGGCCGCGCCGCTGCGGCTAATCGCCGCCAAGAACGAGAAGAGCCGTAGCGAGCTGGGTCGGTTCTTGACCAAGCCGGTGAGGAGAGAGGGAGAGGGAAAGTTCTAGACAGGCCCGGGGCGCCGCTCCGCGGGGACGTGCCCCTTTGCAGGGGCGTCGGAGGAGGCCTCTGGTCACTTGGCCCCTCCGCGGGGCGGTTGGTGGCGTCGGCGCCGCGCAGGTGGCCGGAAGTCGCCTTTGGGTTTGCTCGTGGGGGGCGGCCGCTCCCCTCGCCCCCTCGGCCGCGCCCGCGCTGAGGTAGCCTGCGGGCCCCTTCTAGAAGGAATGGAAGCCGGCTTTCCTGACGTCGAGGCTGCAGCGGGGCCGTTCCCGACTGCGTGGGCCACACACCCCGGTTCGCTGGGCAAATGTGTTTTGCCCGGTCCCTTCAGCGTGGCTCTGACGCGTGCTCATCGCGTTCCTACGCTGTGCAAGTCACCGTGGGGGCGGCCCTAAGCAGATAGCGAAAGAAATGAGTTATGGTGTCTCCCTGGAGGGGACTTTCCCGTTCACAAGCATGCAAAACAACTGCAGGAAAAAGCTAGACCCGCTCATGTGTGCTCACTTGGACCAAGCCATAGGCTTTAAAAGGAGACAAACTGGAATATTCTGGGAGAATTGACTTCTCATCGATTCTCCCCTTTAAGGACCCACGTTAGAATCTTTTCGCGTTGCATTTTCGTTTCCCAGTCTATGCTAACCCTCGTCCAGTGTCTGGCAAGCCTCTGGAGGTAGTAGAAAGTGTGTTTTTAAATTTTGATATAACTCAATCACAAGTGCGTGACCTACATGTGTATTCCATTGCTTAGGAATCACAGCAGTCTATTGAGTGACAGACAAAGGGACTTGATTTGGAGCAACACAAATCTCACAGGCAAAACCTTGCCTTTTCTGGTTTTTGTTTTTTTTTTCCTTTGGAGATGAGCGTGTGCTGGGGATTAAATCCCTACCCTCTAGCTACTTCGCCACTGAATGACACGCCCAGGCAAGAGGAGATAATAAATTGGACAGGAGAAATAAAGAATTGACTTTATCTTCTGGATTTCTGGCCCCTGGGCCGTGGAGAAGTTATCAGTAACACCCTTAGGGTGTCTATTTAAAAAGCAGTTTTTCAGAGGTAATTGGCTTAGTTGAACTTGAAGTGTGTATTGTTTCTGGGAATCTTTATAAGTGACCTTATACTTTAGATCACAAGTTGTGAGACAGAAGTTTATGGGTGAGCTTAAGGAAACTTAATGATTCTCTACCCCAGTAATTAATGCCTATGGCACTGGGAACGTTGCTGTGAGGTAAAGCACACTTATTGTGCATGAACCCCTTAGTTCGGTTCTCCACAACCAAGGGGGGAAAAGTTGATGTTGATGTTTTGGTTTTGTTTTGTTTTGTTTTTTGGTCCTGTCCCGGGGCCTGAAATCTGGGCCTGGTCACTGTCCTTCAGCTCAAGGCTAGCCCTCTACCACTTGAGCCACAGCGCCACTTCCGTCTTTTTTCTTATGTGGTACTGAGGAATCGAACCCAGGGCCTCATGCATGCAATGCAAGTACTCTACCACTGAGCCACCTTCCCAGCCCCGAAGTTGATGTTTTGGGAATCGGATAGGAATAGCCTTTTATTAGGTAAAGATTTGAATGAGAAAGACATTGATGAATAGGAATGACTGTAGTAAAGCTGCCAAACTAGGAAGTTGAGTTGAATTAAGGAATTACTGCCTTTCTTTCTTTCTTTCTTTCTTTCTTTCTTTCTTTCTTTCTTTCTTTCTTTCTTTCTTTCTTTCTTGCCTCACGTTGTCTCACCTTCCTGTCTTCCCTACCTAGGTCTGAACTCAAAGTTTTGCATTCACCCAGCTGTCTGGTGGTGATCTACCTCTTGAGTCATGTCTCCAGACTGCCAAACTGGCTTTTTTTTCTTCCCCAGATTATTTTGGAGCTTCATACTCTTCACCCCCACCCCCAAACTGTCTTCAAATAGAGATCCTCTGAATCTCAAGTCTCCTGAGTAGCAAGCAGTGTGTTCTACCACTGAACACAGCTCATATTGTAAATAATTTAAAGCCTTTGACTGGATTAATTATATACACAATTCTCTGAGTGTGTGTTCATACACATGTACAGATGTCAGATCTAGTGCTTGAACTCTGAGCCTGAGTGTTGTTCCTTAGCTTTTCCACTTGAACCACATTTGAACTACAGCTCCACTTGCAGGTTTTTGGTGATTCCTAGGGATGGGAATCTTTTGGATGGACTTTTCTTGCCAGAGCAGTCTTCAAACTACAATCCTTAGATCTCAGCCTCCTGAATAGCTAAGATTACAGAAGTGAGCCACTAGCACCTGGCTTATATTACAGTTCTTTCTCCATTTTTGTAAATATATATTCATAATACAAATATATTTATGCATTAAATACATCTATGAAATTAGTAAACAATTGAAGCATTGATTTTTTATTTTTATTTTTTTGCTTTGGCATTTGAGATCTGAAGAATTTTTTTAGGCCTGTGCTTTCTATTGTGTTTATCTTAGCAGATGATTCTACCTTGTCTGGAAGAATCATCAGTTTTTTGGGGAGTGGAGGTAGGGTTTCTGGGGATTGTGCCTTGGGCCTCAGACTGAACCAGGGAGCTAAAACCTACCCCTTTCTTAGCTCTTTACATTCCTTTTTCTTCTGATGTAGCCAGTGCCTCCTGCGATTACTTCCAAAGTATTAAGTCTGTCTCTGTCTCTCTCTCTCTCTCCTATTCTTAGGATTATTACCACCTTCATCTCTTCAGTCTTCCATTATGTTTGTATAGAGCTTATCACAATACATCAGCACTTAGTTTCCTTATCTTAAATCCATTTTATTTCACTTTTGCTTTTGTGCCCTAAGGCAAATGAAATTGAAATCTGTATTTGTTTGTTGTTTTTTCCTTCAGGCTTTGTCTCACAGAGTAGCCCTGCCTAAGATTATAGGGTGTCTGTCACTTTGCCTAGCAAGTTTCACTTTCTTTATTAAATACATATTCCACATTTTAGCTGTAAAAAGTTACATGTAATAGTTAAAAGCCAACACTCAGTGCTTGCCTAAAGTGTTCTAGCATTTAATTCACAGTATTGCCAAAATAAAATCACCACTGGGCCCAGTTTCTGACAAGAATCACGTGTTACACTAATAGTTTTGTTACCTTGTCCTGATCCTTTCCCTGTGATTTTATAGTCTGTAAATGGAGATGATAATCTAATTTGTGGGTTGCTAGTAAGACTAAATGCATAGGACCTGTTAAGTGCTGACTATAGAAGTGCTTGCCATTATTGCTGAAAATAAGGCTGTTATATGACCAGAAAATACACAAAAGAAACTTAAAGTATGTTTGGAACATAGTGATTCATCAGTAAAAATGAGCTGTAAGTGTGTGTGTGTGTGTGTGTGTGTGTGTGTAAGGCTGAGATTCAGCCTAGATCCTCACACATACTAGGCAAGCTCTCTACCACTGAGCCATATTCTACTGAGTTATTTATATTACCATTTTTGATACCAGGTCCAAGCTGGGCTTGAACCCTGGGCTTAAGTAATCTTACCTCAGCCTACAGGCTAGAACTAAAGGAATATATTTTACCATGCACAGTTTTAATTATTTTTTTAATTTTTCCCAGTGCTAGTGATCAAATTTAGTAAAGCCTCACATGCTGGAAAGGGGTCTTTTATTTTAAAAACAGCTTTATTGTGAAATTGTTTTCCTGTCATATAGTTCATCCATTTATGATGTGTAGTTCTGAGATTTTTTGCTATATTCATAGATGTAAGTGTTCCATAGTCAAATTTCAAACTGTGTGTGTGTTCGTTCGTTAGCATGTTTGTTTGTTCATTCGTGTGTGATTGTTCAAGCCCTGGGGCTTGAATTCAGGGCCTTGATGCTGTCCTTGAGCTCTTTTGCTTGAGGGGAGGACTCTACCACTTGAGCTACAGGTCTACTTCCAGTTTTTTTGGAGCTTAATTGGAAATAAGACTGTCCCAGACTTTTCCTGCCTTGGCTGGCTTAGTCCAATCTCCTGAGTAGCTAAGATTATAGGCATGAACCAATGGTGCCCGCAAATTTTGAACATTTTTATTACTTTCAAAGGCAACTCCCAAACTCTGGTTTCTATTAATGATCATTTAAGTCTTTTTTTTTTTTAGACACTCCTATATTCTAGCTATCCTTTTCAAGTTGTTTTATACTCCACTTCCAGCAACTGCTAACATAGTTCTTTTTTCCAGATTCCCTGTTTTGGTCATTTAGATTATTAGTAAGACAAATTATTTCATATGAACTTCTCCATTGATTCCAGAATAAAAATTGTAGCTTTCTAAAGTGGCTTATGATCAGGAGCTGAGGTATATAGCTAGGAGTAGAGAGCAGTGCCCAGGATATAGGAAAACTTGGGCTTGTTTGATTTCCCCAGCACTGAAAAAATAAAAATAAAAAACAAAACTTGTTGCCCTGATAGCTTACTCCTAAAGTCCTGGCTGTTCACCTCCTGGGTGAGATCTGAGGATTGCAGTTTGAAGCCAGACCAGAAAGTCTGTGAGACACTTATCTCCAATTAACCATCTAAGAGAGGCTGGAATTGAAGCTATGACTTAAGTAGTATACTAGCCTTGAACAAAAAGGTTTAGGGACAGTGCCCAGGCCCTAAGTTTAAGCCCCAAGATTGGCACTTAAAAAAAATTAATTAAAGACAACAGCAAAAGCAAAAACTCACTTCATATACCATTTTCTTTCTTTCTTCAGTGTTCCCCTCCCCCACCATGTTGAGACTTAAATCTGGGATACTGTCCACTAAACTATATTCCCAGCTGGCCAGATTGTGTGTTCTGTACGTGCTCAGTGTTCCACTGAGCTACACTGCAGCTCACCAAAATACTTTGTATGTAGTCCTGGCTGGTCTTCAACTTGCAGTTCTCCCTCAGCCTTCTGAGCACTGGGATTACAGTGCCCCACTATTTTGTCTGGCCTGTATTACAATTGGTTTTATTTTTATGCTTCACCAGTCCAATAGTCCTTGTGTGGTAGAGATTGGACAGTTTTGCCCTTAGGCTAAACTGGAGACATTTTGATGCAGGATAATTAGGGTAGGTATGCTTGTAATACCTAGTGCATGGTGGCCAGTGAGTTTGCTAAGCATACTGTAATACACATGACAACAACCCACAACAAAGAATTATACAGCCTAATATATCAGTATTACAAGATAAAGAAAGAACTGTGCCTTGTCTAATTTATTGGAATGACCATGGCTTACTACTATGTTTTGGTAACTGGAGTCACCCCCAGTGCTGCTGTTGTCTGTCATCCTTTGTTACTTCTGGCCTCTAGCTTTGCATTGCCTTTTCTTAGAAAGCATCTCCTTGTGTCTCTCCTTCAATTAAAACTTTTTCTGTCTGTTCTGGAAGAGTGCTTTGCAGTTAACCTTGTCTAGGAAAACATTCTTGATTTAAGAGGGGTATTGTAGCTCTAGTGTCTGAGTTAGGCAGAAAATGTTTAATAACAGATAGCTCTACTCCCAAACTATGATAGGTGTTTTCTTTTGTTTTTGTTTTTTTTTTTTTAGTAGAAGATAGCTTTGAAAACCTTTGCGTTTTCAGCATATTATGACTCTCTAAGGTGATTTTTAACTTAGTTTCTCCTGTAATGGAAACAGTTTTGTTCTGTTATGAAAATAATTAGAATCGGGAAAAATTTTGGCATTCTTGCTTGTTTTATAGGGAAGTTTAGGTATTTATCTCTTCAGCTTAAAATACTTAAATGTAACTAAATAATTGTACAAAGATAAAAAATCACAAAATTTAGAAAATTTCTACTAATTAATAGCTGGGCAAAATCATCAAGCACAAAGCCTGTTTTATTATTGAAGTATTTGGGGGTAATTTATTGAATACTGAAACTAGAAAGCAGAATGGTTTTGTGGGTATGCTTATATAGTATCTTTTTTTTGGGGGGGGGCGGGTCCAGTCATGGGCCTGAACTCTGGGCCTGGGCGCTGTCCCACAGCTCTTCAGCTCAAGGCTAGCACTCAACCACTTGAGCCATAGCGCCACTTCTGGCTTTTTTTTTTTCTGGTTATGTGGTGCTGAGGAATCGAACCCAGGGCCTCATGCATGCAAGGCAAGCGCTCTACCACTGAGCCACCTTCCCAACCCCTTGTATAGTATCGTAAATGCAAAAATTTTAAGTCAAACCATCACAACTTTATTTTCTT